TCTCTTGGATCACAAACAGAACATAAGGTTGAACTCTTGCGAATGCAAATAAGTAAACTTGTGTAGAATTTGAGAGCAAAGCTATGAAGAACTGATTCTAGGTCTAGTTTAAATCTTTCTTGCACAGCGCACACCTCATAATTTTCCGCATCCAGTTTCCCTCCAGAGTAAATACCTTTGAACGAAGACAGAAAACAACCACCCAGCTTGTTTTTATCAGCTCCTTTCAAGAGAGCCACCAGACCACTTCCCTTCCCGGAACATTTTCCATAAAGTCTCTAAAACACTGTTTTGTTCAGACACACGTTTGTGGATGCATTTTTTTATTTTTTTATTTTTCAAAGACCAATGGTGTTTACACCAAGACTTTTGTGTTGGTCAACAGTTAAACCTTTATTTAACTGGAAAAACTATTCCATATTCACAATGTCAAACCTAAGACAATAAACACAGTCTCTTTCTTCACTCCCCTAACTGTATAAGCTTACTTTGAATATAAATAATTGGTCATCTAATTGGTCTTTAAGAAGGACTGTACAATAAACTAACTCTCATCATGATAAATGAGTATAGAAGCATATCGCATTCAAAACTACATGGGACTACAAACGTCCATTCATGTTTCCCAGTTGTAAAAAAGCACAAAGGGTGAGAATTAAAATGCAAAGCATATTGGCATTTGCATGTTCCCCAGAAGAGATAGTCCTGTTAATGTTAATATTAATAAAGAGCATTGCTCATGTGCAGATTGCATGCAACTGCTCATCTTTCCCAAGCCTAAATATTATTGTAACGTCACATATCCATCACAAAAAAGCCAGGCTGAAGTTTATCAAAGACCAAAAATTACGGCTTGCCAAGTTTTCACCCCCTTCCTTACAAAAAAATGCCCCAAAAGTACCTCTTGGGATCACAATCTTGACGGGTTTTTTTTTTAACCCGCAGTAGCGTTCATGCTGCTGAGACTTCTCAGCGTCTGCCATGTGGGCAGTAGCAAAAACAAATCTTCCAGTTGACAGAATGAGTGCTGAGGGGTCTGTCTAGCCAACTCTGAAAAAACTGAAAAAAACAAAAAAAACGACACTCTGTAGACGAGTCATGAGAGACCGTCTGTGGTTTTACTCTGATACAGTACAAGCACTGGAAAAAGGCCTCCACATAGTGAGCTAGAAATGTCTAAACCAATTAAATTGAACCCACTTAATTGTTGCAATGCATTTTAGGCATTTCAATTTGCCAACTGTAATCTTCCTTCTTACTAAACAAAACTTTGGATGAACACTGGCTGAAGTTTTGTTTTAATTTACAGTACATATATAGAATAGTATACATTTAATTCTAATAAAATATCATAAAAATATGATTAGTATTATATTAGTGTAGCAATGTTCAGGGAAGAAGGAGGCGGGAACCCGACGGACAATCAAAATAAAACTTTATTTAAATGAAATAAACACAATACCTGCAAGCAGTCCCTCACGGACGACTGCTGGCTACCCAAAATAAAATAAAACAAAAGCAGGCCTGTTCCTCTCTCGATCATCCACTCCGTCGCTCCCCCTTTATGCTTCCGCTCCTCCGTGAGAGATGCGAGACCGGTGTGCTTCACAGGTGCTGCTCATTAGCAATCGCACCACCGGCCTCGCGACGTTCTCTCACGTCCCTCGGCCGTCCTGCTCACCACAATTAGTATATAGTGTGAGGGAATTTACAGTTAAAGACCCAAGGACCAGATATGATTCATTAACACCAGGAGTTAGAAGTGCAGTCAATTTAAGACACGAGTCAAATTATAACGAATTAAAGAAAAATTTGACTGAAGATAGTTTGCGGTTTCATCAGGCAGAAGTCAGTTTCAAGACTCACAAGGAGTTCGTAGGCCGCCCTTTACAAAGATCACAGCAATTATACCCTTCACCAAGGTCTAAGCTATGTCATTACTTCAGGTTGAATGATTCTGATTGGCTAAGAAATAGATAAACAGTACATTGCCACACATGGACTTATAGGCAGTAGAACATCTCCATAGTCTGTACGGCTGCCACCAGGACCCTGAGTTAGTTACGAATGTCCCTCCGTCGTCACAAGACTGTGTGTCTATGTGCCAACATGTCGAAGAAAACAAGTCAGTCAATCTCCAATAATGCCACTTGTTCCTTAACCTGTAACCAAGAATGCTAACACACACACACAGACAAACAGCTTCTTCAAGGTTGGATGTGGTCGGGCTCTAACGATAAACAGGAGACTCTTCCCAACGCATCCAGATAACACGTTCTTTCTCTCAAGGAGAGGACACTGTCATATATAACAGTAAAGTAAATGATTTAACTAAGAAATGGTCACTTAAACTGTTGGTTCCAATGACTCTTGTGACCTATAGTTGTCATGGTGAGCTAGAAGAACAGATATATGTTTTAACATATATTGAAGACCTTTCTCAAACAAAACGAGTCCATATTTCATCTCTGGAAGCCGGGCGAAAGAATCCAGAATCTACTCCCTTCAATAGCTTTAAATCTTTTTGCATAACATTAGCTGCACTAGTGCAACACCTGTTATGAGTCTGGCCTTAATTTTGTGGGTTAAATTTTTTACTGTCCACATGCAATAATGTGGACTGAATCCTAGGCCATTCCTTCCAGAACTATGTCTGGAAACTTCAACCTCACCTCAACTCAACAAAAGGGGAAAAGAAGAATCAGATGAGACCACGAGGCTTTACTGAGGTCACCGAACACATGCAACCAAACACTTCCAGAATCATTTCCACGGAAAAGAGGCAGATCACAATCTCTCCCAAAACGTCTAATGCTGCTGTGGGGGAAACCACAGAGGTAATCTTTCACGCTCTTCCCAGGAGAAAAAAACATTTCCCCGCTTTAGGCAACATCGTTCAAGCTGAAGGGGCTGCTGTGTTTCATCTTGGGCACTCGGTGTTCACGATTTCACTCGGCCTCCCACAGAGAGAAAAACGACCCCACAGGTATGGATATCATGATTTTAGTACAATATATACTGCTTAGTAATCAAATCATTTTGTACTAATTTGTTTGAGATTTTTGCGAGCATATACATCATTCACATTGATGTCTCCAAAAAGAATTGCTTTGAGCATGGCAATAAAAAGAGGTATATTCCTATTCCTCTTACATTTTAGCAACCCACATGCAAAAGTCAGGTCACAAGATTTAATGGCAATGCTTCTAAAACCTTTTTATATCTAAAATTTAGTATCAGCAGTTAAGGAATTATACACAGAAAAACATATTTTCTGAATTTTTGTGCTTATCAAGACAAACAAGTTAAAGGGCCAATTAAAATTGAGACATTCCTCCATATGCGGTTTTCAACTATGAAAAATATTTCTATGATTGATTAATGAAAAAGAGCTTCAAATTTAAAGAATAAGTCATTATTTAACTGCGCAACATTAAAATCATAGCCAACATACCAACACGTCAAAGTTCTGCAGAAGACAAGAAAATGACTTGAGAGAGACTGTCGTACTGAGCAGTTACAGTAGTTAAATTAGATTAACTACTCACTGTATTTTTTGGATCACTTTATCTAGCTGCTTTGCCAGCTCAAATTAGTACTATGACCAAACTAGATATTTTTAGTTTAGGAGAATATTACATCAAATATAAACAATAATCCAAGAAGAGTTCTTTCCTATATTACAAGGGAGTGTTTGTCTTTCCAAAATGGTTGTGTTTAGAAGTTTAAAAAACAAACATAAATACCAATTATTACTAGCAGTCAACAACTGAGTCATAGGCTTTACCTTCAACACGCACAGAAAAAACCCCGCTGAGATAATTCATCCCAGACATCACAACAGAAGAGAACACTAAACAAATATCAACATTTAGAGAAAAATGTCATATTGCCCAAAGTATGTGCAATTAGGGGTGTTTAGTCTTCTGGAAAAGTACCAAACCGCTTTAAGTAGACCAAAAAAGTGAATAAAAACCCAGTTCTTGTTTAACTCTCAAAATCTCATTGTGGTCTATTTTATGTGTCACTTTCTATTCACACTGTTTTTTGTGGAAACTAGCACACTTAAAGCTGCAGTCCTGCGTTTTTTCCTCTTTGTCGCCATCTCTGTTCGAAATCTGCAATTGCAGTCATTCGCGGAATTATCAACTTTTTACTTGAGTTGTACTTCAACACCCTCGACACGGCACAGCACGGATGAACAGTGTTTGAGGAGAGTGTGAGGCTGTCAGTCACTGCGCCGGTGTGGATACTGTCATTCAGAATCACAGATTAGCCTATTCTTTTTGGAAGTATTCCGGTCGCAGTCTCTTTTTTTCTGTAGCCACTCCGAAGTCCGAACGAAGTCTTTTGCATTTTACAGCGGGTGAATCTGTTGTCACTGGTGATTGTCGTTTGAACCTTTCTGGATCCGCCATCAAATTGATAAGTTTAATTATATCAAGTGCAGTGAGAGAAGGCTATAAATCTCCACCTCCAACATCCTTACACGCAATATAGCCTACTAGCCGAGACTCCTTTATGTGTACAGATGTGACGTAATGACTCAATATAGCCTACTAGCCGAGACTCTTCTTTATGTGTACAGATGTGACATAATGACTCAATATAGCCTACTAGCCGAGACTCTTCTTTATGTGTACAGATGTGACGTAATGACGCAAAGACATTCTCGAATCTCCCGCGGAAATCCACCAGTGCCACTGGAATTAAAAACATTATTACAAGCTTACCGCTTTGAATCGAGCTAAGGCAAGCAGATAGTTTTGAACACTGGCTGGTTGTGTATTTTCTCAAATATGTATTTTGGATCATTTTTAACCCAAAAAAAAGCTACGGACTGCAGCTTTAAATATTATTGTAACATATTATTGATGATAATCATTATTATATTGATTATTTCAGTACAATCAAAGTCCTAATAACTTTTTTCTAATTTTCAAAATACAAATCTTTTTTTGTGACCGTTCCAAACAGATAGCAGGGAAAAGCAAACTAAACCATGACATCATCACGGATCTTGAAAATACTATGTCTGTATTTGCTCTCTGGAGCTCTGGTACTTTCTCAAGAGCTTGACTATATCGATAACAACATAGATTCAACCTGTATATGCTCCCAATGAGCCAAATAATGAGAAAGAACCGAATCTCTTACCACAGCTATGCAGACGACACACAGCTCTACTCAGCCCTATCGCCTAACGATTACAGCCCCATTGACTCCCTGTGCCAATGCATTGATGAAGTCAACAGTTGGATGTGCCAAAACTTTCTTCAGTTAAACAAAGACAAAACTGAAGTCATTGCGTTTGGAAACAAAGATGAAGTTCTCAAGGTGAATGCATACCTTGACGCTAGGGGTCTAACTACTAAAAATCAAGTCAGGAACCTGGGTGTGTCTCTAGAGTCAGATCTTAGTTTCAGTAGTCATGTCAAAGCAATAACTAAATCAGCATACTATCATCTGAAAAATATTGCAAGAATTAGATGCTTTGTTTCCAGTCAAGACTTAGAGAAACTTGTGCATGCTTTCATCACCAGCAGGGTGGATTATTGTAATGGACTCCTCACTGGTCTTCCTAAAAAGACCATAAGACAGTTGCAGCTCATACAGAACGCTGCTGCCAGGATCCTGAGCAGGACCAGAAAATATGAACATATCACACCAGTCCTCAGGTCTCTACACTGGCTCCCAGTTACATTTACGATTGACTTTAAAGTATTATTACTGGTATATAAATCTTTTAATGGGCTAGGACCTCAATATATTGCAGATGTGCTCACTGAATATAAACCAAACAGATCACTCAGATCATTAGGATCACATCACCTAGAAATACCAAGGGTTCACTCTAAGCATGGTGAGTCCGCTTTTAGATATTATGCCAGCCGCAGCTGGAACCAGCTTCCAGAGGAGATCAGATGTGCTCCTACAGTAGTCACATTCAAATCCAGACTCAAAACACATCTGTTTAGCTATGCATTTACTGAATGAGCACTGTGCCACTGCTCGTCCGACTGTTTTTACTGTACTTTATTTTATTCTTTATTCTAAAAAAGTTTTAATTATTCTTATTTGTTTTGATTATTTTATTTTCTCCAATGTAAAGCACTTTGAATTACCATTGTGTATGAAATGTGCTTTATAAATAAACTTGCCTTGCCTTGCCTTGCCTAGATGAAAACTCTTCGCCCGAAGTTCCTCGACAATCTGTAACTCAACAACCTGATTACGATGCCCAAATAATGTATTCGTACGAATGTGCCAGCGAATGTTTCTGCCCCTCATCCTATCCATTTGCCATGTATTGCGACCACCGAAAACTCAAGGCGATTCCCAACATCCCAAGACACGTCCGCCACTTGTACATTCAGCATAACGACATAGAAGAGATAACTTCAAAGCCTTTCATTAATGCCACGTCCCTGAGGGAAATCAACCTCAGCTACAATAAGCTCCAGTCATCTAAGGTGGATAAAGTTGTCTTCAATATACTCAAAGAACTCATTCAGTTACACCTTGAGCATAATAATCTGGAAGACGTTCCTTCTCCTTTGCCAAAAACTCTTACAAGACTTAATTTGGGCTTCAATAAAATTTCAAAGATACCGGCTGAAGCTACACGAGAGCTTACAAAACTTACAGTGCTGGATTTTTGCAGCAACAGACTAACAGATGCAGGTATTAAAGAGCCTCATGCAAATCCACATGTGCAACAATAAGCTCAAGTCCATGCCAACAGACCTTCCAGAATCGATTCAGCAGATATCGCTGGAAAACAACTTAATATCCACCATACCTGAGGGCTGCTTTAACCCCTTAACTGTCACCTGCCCGTATACGGGCAAACTAAATTTACTTCACTATATTACTATTAAATCCTAATCTAGTCATGACAAACTATATATCGTTGGAAAGGTCTAAGACTCCTAAATAGATATTTTAGCGCTGTTTTTTTCTTACAAATTATGAATGAACAGTAATATATGAATTTATGACAAGAGTGCGCCTCAAAAAATCGACGTCATTACAGAAGTTTCTGACCTTTGTCACAAAAAGTCGACGCACACACTTTTAATAATTGGAACTTTGGTTTTTAGTGCTAAAAGTTCATAATAAAACATAATCTAGTATTTGTCAATAAAAAAAGATCAAATTATATTTTAAAAAGTAAAGTAAGAAGTCCTCTAAAAAGTATAATATATATTATATATATATATATATATATATATATATATATATATATATATATATATATAATTTTTTTATTATTATTATATCACATATTTTAGTAGTTATCATAAATTAGGTATCATTTGAAAGCTTACAAACTCAGAATTCATCCTGTGAAAACCGTTTTGAAATTGGACGTTGCGTTACCATAGAAACGGTATTTTTTATTAGGCCCCTCCCCTTTTGGGCATCATCTTTCATAATTTATCATCAAAACCTTTTCTAATCTTGACAAAACACATATTGTCAGAAAGGTCTGAGTCTCAAGGTTCCATATTTAGTGACAGAAGTGATATTTGGATAGAAATTTATTAATTTGTTATGGCAGAATGCATACAATTAAATTCAATGGAATTCAATGGCACCCGGTGGCTATTTTTGGTATAACGCCTAAACAAAATCTCATGGGAACTTCAATTTTTGTGATATCAACTTTAAATTTGGAACACAACTTGGTTAGATATATAGCTTTCATTTTATAGTAATTTTATAGTAAAAAATATTTTGTAAAATATTTATTTTATATAAAAAAATATATATTAATTAGGGGTGGTTAATCTGTCTGATTTCCCGATTCGATTCGATTACGATTATTGAAGTCCCGATTCGATTACAGTTGATTTTCGATTATCAACGATTCTCGATTAGCGATTATTGATTTTCCATTTCACAACAGTAAACTAAAATACACTAGACCAACATATGATTATATTAGCAGCAACATTTTGGTATTAATTGCACTTTTTATTTGTTTGATATTCAATGAAAATGTATTGATGGTTAGTGAGGACATGCAAACATGCTTGTTGTCTACTTCTTAGGCAACCCATTATAAATAAAAACATTTTTTAAAGCAATTGTGTTGCATTATAATGCAAAGGCACCTGGTTCTATTAACTGACAGCATTAAAAGGCATTTTGTGATTTCCTTCAATTGAAAATCTTTGAAGCAAATTTGGGGGACTCTAGGGCACCCAATTCAGAGAATCACCCAGAAATTCAAAAGAACAGCATTTATCTGAAATAGAAAGCTTTTGTAACATTAAACAATACCGTTCAAAAGTTTGGAGTCGGTAAGAATTTTTATTTAATTTTTTGGGCGAAAGAAAAAAGAAATCATTACTTTTATTCATACAAATCGATTATCTGAATCTTTTGTGTGTGTGTGTGTAACTATAAATACGTTGCTTTAAAAGTAAATGACCCATAAAGAATTAACGTACAATTGTATTAACATTGCAAAGAACCAACAGGAAAATAAATGTGTGCCTGAACTAGGAGCATACTTGTAGCAAATTCTTTCCTCTGGCTGGAAACGTGTCATATGGTTTCTCATATTTGTCGTGTTTCCGTCGTTAGTTTTATTCTACAAAGCTTACAACTAGGGTTGCTCTTGTCCAGCTCCTTTCCCCCTTCAACTTCAGAAGCCAAAATATTTCCACGTCAGCTAACCTAGGAGGGTGTTTGGATTTAGCGCGCTCAGCCATCGCGTCTCTGTTATGTGCACGCCACAGACGGGTCCGGCCACTGCACTTCCGCGCTTCAGAGTTCCGTCTTTCGCGTTCCGTCAATATTACGTTATTATAAATATATATAAAACTTTTTTTTTTTTTTTTGAAAATCGATTTTTTTACATTTGTGAATCGATTCAGAATCGTCCACGTCCGCATCGCGATGCATCTAAGAATCGATTTTTTCCCCCACCCCTAATATTAATAAAGTATATTTGATTTACTGTAAATTATAACTTCCATAACTTTTTCATACTTTAATTTTTTGAAGTGCTTTCACTTTAGTAATAATCTGTTGATTGTTTTCTTTAAAACAAGACCAAACTTAGGTCTATATTCCAAAGCGTTCTTGAATTACAACCATTTAAGTTTGTATAGTGCATTTTAATGTAAATTATCAAAAGGGGGGGGTGACAGGTAAAGGGTTAAGAAGACTCCCAATCTCTTGTCCCTACGCATGTCACACAATAAACTCAAATCCATTGCATACATTGCCTTCAACTTGTCCAAACTGATGGAGCTCCATTTGGGCCATAACCAGCTCTCCAAACCGTTTTTTTTGTTCCCAGGACCTTGGAACATCTGTATCTAAATCACAATGACTTTAAAGGCAAGTTAAATTCTAAAGGTACAAATGTAGAATAAAGCATGATGGTCTCTTCAAGAAATGATAGTCATACCCTTACTTTACTCAAACAAAAAAATGCTATTCTAAAAACACATTAGAAATTGATTGAACTGCTCCACTGCAGTGTTCTCCAACCCTTTATCAAATATCATTCTAATAACGACATATGCTAAAATTACTTAGTCTCTTTGCAGATCTGAATATCTCTCTAATGTGTCCATCACTGGACCTTGGGAACCCTAACATGCTGACCTTCATTCGGCTCGACAACAATAAGCTATGCTTACAGATGTTTCCCAAGGCTGATGATGATATTTGACGGAAACCAAAGGAAGGATGATGAAGATGACTCTGAACCCCAAAAGTATGAAAAACCAAAAAGGCCTGGGGCAACAAGGCTATCGACTTAGATTTTTGCGATGCGTCATACATAGTTCAACAAAACAAACTATTCATTAATCAAAGTATAAGAATAAAACAGGATTTATGATTTAAATATTATTAAACATACATACAGTATATCAAGTAACTTTGAACATTCCATTCCTTGCTGCTTGAACGTTCTATTTGATTTTCTGCATGCATGTGTATATGCTTTGATGCATCTTAATCAGCATAAAATGTGGCTAAAATCATAATTGCTATTTACGGACAGTTCTGATTCAGTTTGCTTTGTTTTGCACAATGTCACTTTTCTCTCCATTAATACAGTAAAAAGCATGTATCTACATTAGTACATTGCGCTGTAATGCATGTAAATATAATAAACAACATGGCTAGTCTTTTTCTGATGAAATTACTGTAAGATGCTTTTGAAGCTAAAAAGTGTAAGATCCAGCATAAAGCAACAAAAAAGGATAACAATACAGATCAGATGCATTTAAAATAATTGTTTAAAATTATACACAATAATTGTTACAAAAAAATGATGACAAAAACCCAAATTTCACTGTTTTTCGACCCTGGCACAAAATGACCAGCATTGACCAAACATAATTTCACTAATCATATCATCAGCTCATGGGAAAGTGTGAACAGGTACTAGTCCAGTAAAATCATTATCATTCTGACTGGATTATAAAAGCAGACTGATTGGATTGCCATTAGTCAGGATTTGGCCCAGAAGCTGATATCCAGCATGCCAGAGCGAATTGCAGAGGTTATGAAGAAGGGTCAACACTGTAAATATTGACTGTATGCATATATTTAATGTTTTTGCCAATAAAAGCCTTTAAACTTATGAAATGCTTATCATTGTTTTTCAGTATACCATAAGATGCGTTTATTTACATGGACCCTAATAATCCGTTTGTAACCGGATTAGTAGCACAGTCGGAATAAAAAAAGTCACATGTAACCACGTCAATAAAAATAAATTGGCTAAATCCAATTCAAATTTTATTCGGTTTTTTAAAGGGGTGTTAACATACTGTAGATTGAAAACTGAAACTGGAAAGTTTGGTGCATGTGCAATGACGTAGAAATGCCGTAATGGCGTATGATGCACAGAACGAGCTGTTGTTGTTGAGGTGTCATGACTGTAGTGCCATTTTAAATTCTCCTTTCACTCATCGTCTGTGAAGTGTTGCAGGACAACGTTCCACCAGTCCTTGCTTCGGACTCTCATCCACAGATGCCTTGTTTTGGCCGTGGAAACAGACTTTTTACTCCTTGATGGATATAAGCAGCACAGCACAAAGCTTCATGTACTCGTTGTCTCCTAATCAGGACCCGTAATAGATAGTTAAGTCTGTTTTTTAAAACAAAGAAAAGAAGCAATGGTAGGAGGATGTGTATATTCGTGTAAACTCGAGTATATTCGTGCAGTGTGTGCATGTCAAAAGATCAATTCGGATTTGAAGTTGGTGACATAAATGCACACATCAACCCGATCACCTCAGCATTCATGTAAACACTATGTTCAGATTCATTAAAGCTACAATATGTCATTTTTTTCACCGCTAGGGGTCACTAACCTCTTACAATAACAAAGGCGTAGGTTGATGACGCATAAGCGGAATTATCAAACTTGTCGTCCATAATGCTGGTGGATCTAATAATGTTTATGGATGAGTGAATACATTGATGTTTTTATCATGACTGAGGTATGAAGCAGGTCGTAATTGCTAATGAGAGACAGATATCAGCGCCACACGCGAGTCGCGCGGATATAAAGGAATAAGGACATTTCATTCTACCAAACTACCCGCAAGTGCAGAAATACTCACACAGGTCAGTTTATTAGACGAATGAAACTTGTGGGGTAACGCAGCCCTCTTTCCCTTGGTCTACACTATCACACTTAACTGCATTTGAGTGTGTTGAAAGTTATAATGTTATTCTATGTGTTTGTTTGTTGGCTGTAGGAGACTAGCAGTAAACTAGATCAACATTAGAATAACATACCGATCATATTCTAACATTTCATCATGTTGAGCTATATAACATTGATTTGTTTTATGTACATTTGCTCACCTGTCTAATAAAGTGCATGCAAGAGCGGCGTCTCTGTCAAGTCGAAGTTAGTCGCGGACGTGGAGCTCTCGGCATCTCGAAAACGCCACACTGATATTGATCCTCGTTTTAGTTCTCCTTTTGTCCCAAAGTCTGCTTGCCGTGGTCCATAATGTTTGAACAGACAACAACAGCGTGTGCGTGCCGCTAGACGTAACGCAGTTGTCCATGTCTGTCGCCATGGTTACTAAGGGAGTACGAGCGGAAACCAGGGATAACGCGGATATTACATCATTGACAGGCGACAATGACAAGGGACAAGCCATTATTTAAAATTGGAATTTCTCTGAAATTAAAAATCTTTGGGAACTTTTGGGCTATTGTAAGTACACAACTGCAGGAAATATATCACACTGTGCAAGTCATTTTTGGATATTTTATTACAAAAATCGTACATATTGTACCTTTAATCAGAACGATTTCATTCTGATTGAAACAAAAAGTGTCCATGTAAACATAGCTATAGAAGCATGTGAAAAAAATAATCTACAAATACTAAAGCAGCAAACTTTGCGAAACACAAAATGTATGTCACTGCCAATACTTTAATTTAGCCCCACCAGTAATGCCATTTTTGGGAGCTATACTTTAAAGTCTCACCAGATGGTGGTATTTATTGGTAGATAAATAACGATAACTGATTAAGTGTAAATATCAAAAATGATTATAAATCAAATTCATTGGTCAAATAAATTATTGGTCAATTTCTACTAATTTAATTATACAGAGCTTCCATGACCGACTACTGTTCACAACCCACTGACCAATCAATAATGAAAATATGTAGTTTTGCACATTCTTACACTCCAGTTCTTAGTGTGGAGGGGTTACGTTTAAATATTTTGAATCCTCCAAATCAAGTCATGTGGTGAAAAAAACCACCCTGACGGAGAAATGTACCACAGAGGATCAGCACTGTAAAAACATTTCTAAGTATTTGGCCCCTTTCCCAGTACAGTAAACTTTTACAGGTTGGCATAATTGCTAACACACCTGTAATGTTATTCCTTCTCAATTTCCATCTCTTTCTCTCAATTTCCATTTATGTTTATTTCGAAGGGCAGAGGCGCCTTTCGTCTTGTTTTAAGGTGTAAAACAGTCACATGTTTCCTATTAAACATGTTTTTCTTCACCTTGATCTTCAAGTGTCTGTTTTATAGAGGAGCTCTGTTTCACTAATCTATTTTATGTTTTTAATTGAATGTATTTTAGGCAAATCTGTAAACTACACAAAACAAACTGAAAATGTTTAAATCACAGTTGAGACGCATAGCAGATCTATCCTAATGTTCCCCTATTGTCTTGTTGCAAATTCCTGCAAATCTAATTAAGCTACTCTTTTTCTGACAAATTGACTGTAAAATGCTATCGCAACTAGAAAAGTCTTAGGATCCTACATCAAGCAAAATAAAAATGAACAATGTAGCAAAGCTATTGAAAATGCACAACTATAATCAAAGAATTTGGAAATTTAGAACTGATCTATCCTAATGTCCTGACACATTTTTGTGTTACCATTGTCCTCCCATTTTCTTGCTTCTCTGAGAAACGTAAAGATTAATTAGGTACAGAGCTAAGAAGAGCCAAACGAGCCTCAATATTCCTAGAGATCAGCATACATAAAATGAATACAAAAAACTAACATTCCTTTTCATTGCCTTCTGCTCTCTTTTACAAAGCTTTTTTTCCCAGCAGACCTCAAACATGGCCAAACCCTGAAGGCGACACAGTGGTCTGATCAGCACAGATGGGAATGCGAAGGGTTAAGGTCTGTTCCATAAACTCCCACTTAAGGATCTCCTCTGGCAGCCTGTGGTGGGGCTTAAAATCCTGATTTGACAGATCACATTTTACTCACAGGCACCAAGAAAATAGCCAAACACTGCCTGCACTGCGCTTCTGCTCTTTAACGTGGCAGAACACATCCCAGTCTTCAGATACAATGGGGACAAGGCTGAGAATGCTTATTTCAGCAGTCATATTGGCATCATGGGTGCTCTCAGCATCTGGTGCACACTACCACAATCCCAGGCATCACAGACTGGAGGATGTAGCACTTACTGAGGGAATCGATATAAGAGCACAGAGGAATAAGGTAAACTGTGTGTTTTTATTATCTTCTGCATAGGCTGACAGAACAGAATATTCAGAGATGGGTTTTACTGCTTGTCCAATTTATATATGCATTTTATTGGTTCAGTTTAAATGAGTTTGCTTGTTCCCACTGAACCATTATACATTTAAGCCATATAGCACACATTAAATGTAATGTGATATATTAAATATAAACCAGTATAAATTAATAATATAATTAAATATTAGCTACAATAAATGTTTCACCTATAATAAATGTTTTAAGTTGCCCAATATATTTATACAACTGATTAATAGATCACTGTATATATACACACATTCTTGAGCTAAATATAAAAATGAGAACATAAAATAAATATAACATGATATAAATATAAAATTAATATATAATCATTTAAACACTATTTAAATAAACGAATCACTAATTAAGATTATTAATTAACTTACAGCACTGTAACAGATTTTCAAAAATCAATTATTAGCGATAGTTTTTGCTTTAATAAATATTCTACCATGTAACCAACAATTTAAAATTACACTTTTGTTCACCTTTCCATTAAGCTAAGTCACTTTTAAAATGTTTTTTTTTTATTTAGATTAACTAAATTATACCACACATTTACATGGATTCATCTGTTAAATTTCCACCATTAAGTCAGATTACTTCCGTACACTGATGGTTTTGAAACCAGTCAGTTTTGTTCAAATAAATGAATAAAATGATTAGCTGAGAGATCGCTCCGAATCAGAGATGGTCTCAACAGCTGCCCGGCACTGTGTAGAAGCTTTCTGATTAGTCAGCAATCTGTTCTGGAGGAGTTCCTTCAGGCTCAAATTCTCCCACCCACAGCTTCACGCTAACTCATGGGGTCAGACACTGTCAGGGTGATTTAACAGGCGCCTAAGGGCAAACAGGTCCAGACAGACACTCGTATCCAAGAGCATCGTCCAAAAACCCAAAGGAGACAACAGTTTTCCATGAACAGAATGTAAAAGGAGAGGTTTACCCAAAATGAAGTTGTCATCATTTACTTATCCTCATGTAGAGCTGCACAGTTAATCGTTAAAAGATCGCAATCTCGATTCAAACACCCATGCGATCTTATTCCTAATGACAACAATTAGGCTATGTCTATTAAACCTTTGGCAAGCACAATCACAGCAGAACATTCAAATCTGCGTTTCCACTGACCCAGAGAAAGCAGTTGTCATGTTTAGTTCATAAACAGTCTTTTCAACCACACAGTATCATTATTTCTTTGTTACAATAATTCAAATATAAACTGATGTCACCGGTAGCGATCAAAATAGAGTAACTCACCTTTTGAAAGTATGCTTCAAACAAAGATTGTATAAATTACACAGTTACATCAGTAGGTGGCGACAAGTGCCCTTTAAAAATATTATTTTGTCGAGATCCGTTCAAAAACGTTGATTTATCCAGTAATGAACCAAGTGAAGTCCAGAGTAAGTCATTGAATCATTCATCAAACCAATTTTTTTAAATAATTAATTCAAATTAAATATTTTTTGAAATAGTCTGCAGCAATTAACAAATGACATGTTATTTTGTTTAGTTGTCTTTTCATAATGGTGGGAGAATTGTGATCTCTATTTAAAAAAAAAAAAAATCATGTTTCTCAATTTATCCAGAATCATGCAGCTCTACCCCGTGTGACTTTTTTAGCCTATGAAAGACAAAAGATTACTGATTTTCATGCGTTCATAAAAAAACAGGGATTAAAGTTTCCAAGATTAAAAAAGGATGCAAATGTGCCTTAAAAGGGCTGTAAAAGTATTCTATCCGTGACGTGCTATATCCCAAGTTTTCTGAAGCTATACAAGAGCTTTCAGTGATGGAAAGAACCAAAATCAAGCTAGCTGTCTTTGGCACGTATTTGGTAAGTATCCACGTTTTCGAGTACTCACTGACTCAATAATCTGGTTGCAATGGTTCACTGGAGAAGAATATTGTCAGTAAATAACAAGCTATCAAAAGGGCTTCAGAAGACTTGGAATAAAGTCATATGGAGTTATGGTTTTTCGGGGCATGAAGTATAGTTACACTTCATTGTAACTGAATGCACGGGACTTTCTCCTTTTGTGTTCTACAGAAGAAAGATATACAGGTATGGAATGATATGACAACAAAACAAATTTTTGAGCAAACTCCTTTAAAATCAAACGCAAAGTGCTGGGAAGCTCTTATTATCTAAGACATTCATTATTGCTGTTTAACCTGAATGTGGAATCTGTCAAACAACCAAATGTACCAACCAATAAAGCCATTTTACAGAGAGCGACAGCCGACACCCCAGATGACTCCAGTCCAATGGCGCCTGTGGGAGACCCTTCAGGTAATGAACGACTGAATCCTGGTCAACTGTCTGAAAGGAATGAGTAATGGGCTCTTTTTAAAAGACCACATGTTGCTCACAAGAGCCCTTAATGTAGGTTTATTTGTTCATGAGCTATGTCTGTGTGAGTGAGAAGTGGTAAAGGAAAGAAGCAATGTGTGTTTGCCCATCCAGTTTCATTAACTTGCCTGTTTTGAATAAAAACTTGTACATGTTCCAGACCTTCCAACTTGTCTACTGTGTGTGTGTCTAACTGGATCTGTCTACTGTGAGGAGGTCGACCCAGATATGACATCAGTGCCTGCTCTGCCCAAGGAGACAAACTACCTCTACGCGCGGTACAACAAGATAAAAAAGATAACAGCTAAAGATTTCGGAGATATCGGTGAGTTCTTCCTGACTTGACTTGCTCTGGCATTCTCCTTAAAACCCTTTTACTAATAGGAGAACAAATACAATTCTTCTGGACAGGATAAGGGATTACCCTCAGGGAGAGCAGGAGACAAACAGCTGCTTTTCAGAAATAAGTCCATTTCATCCAAAAGATTTCCAAATGTTAAGGGACGTGATATATGAACCGCATATGCGATCGCAAGAGATTGCAAACTCTTCCGTTGCATAAAGACATCGATCACATTTCTGAACCACAATGTTCTGCAAAGAATGTGTATTGACAAAAACTTGGACATGTCGTAAACTTGAAAAAATCTGTTTGCAGCAGTGCATCATGGGTATAAAAAAGTTAGCTAAAGGGAGCAGTCAGTGTTTAAAGTGCTTTTGGGGACCCCATGCATCAAAGGCTTTTAAAACACTATATCAGCCCATAAACCAAAATCACCAGAAAACCACCAGACTTGTGCAATCCTCTAGTTCTAAAGTTTTGAAGATAATTTGTTACATATATATAGGATATTAGCATAGTGGATGTTAATTAAACCCTCATTAATAGGGTGACTTTCGACAGGACAAAAAACAACAACAAAGATTTAAAAAAAACAAAAATTGCAGTAAGTACGCAAAGAGTAACCACATGGATGGTAGAGTCTATTTTCAGAGTAAAATTTTCTAGGTGTCTAACGTGATGCTTAAACACTCAAGTTATTCATTAAAATGCTCTTCTTTCCATTTCCATTCATCTACTGTAGTGACTCTAAAGAGAATCGACTTCACTGGAAACATCATTTCTGAGATTGAAGATGGTGCGTTTGCTAAGCTCACCATGCTAGAAGAACTCTCGCTAGGCGAAAACCAACTGGTCAAGCTACCAATGCTACCAACAAAATTAATCTCATTTAACGCTAATCACAACAAGCTGAGAACCAAAGGAATCAAGGCTAATGCTTTCAAGGTAAAGACCCATTACATAACCCTATTTCAATGACATGTTCAACATTGTTCCAAACTACCTAGTAAACTACCTGTTTGAAAACTACCAACATACAACCTTTTGTGTTTGCCAGTTTTCTAAATATTCTGAAATGTCTTCCATAAAGGGATAAACTAATTTCTAGAAAAAATACCCAACCAAATTACTTGGAGCAAGACAAAAACAGCCAAATCTGTTAGTTTTACCATTTTGCACTCAACTTCTGAACAAAACATTTGATCTTCTTTGCTTCCAGAAATTAAACAAATTAACACATCTGTATCTTGCTCACAATGAACTGGAGGCCGTTCCTCTCATTCCAGAGACTGTCCGCACACTTCACCTTCAGGTAATGAAGTTGAACATGTTTTGCATGCTAACAAGTCTTCTGCACACAAATCATAAAAAAAAATGTACAAAACGTAAATATAAAAAACCCCACAATGTCCACAAGAACTGTTGCCTTTTCTGTTGCTTTGTTTACAGAACAATAACATTTCAGCTGTGACTGTGGACACCTTCTGCAAAGGTAACGACACTTACTACATCCGCCCCAACATGAACGAGATCCGCATGGATGGAAATCCTGTCATCCTCAGCCAGTACCCCAACAGTTTCATATGCCTGCAGTCTCTGCCAATTGGGCGATACCAATGAAAACAGAATCAAAGGTACAACGCTGCGAGAAGTCCTTGGATAGCCAATGATGATGACTAAAACCGAGAAGGAAAAGTCATTCAATCTCCTGGTGCCTGTGCACAATTGAGTGTACAAAAGGTTAATACCATGAGAATCTGTACTATATATCTAATTATATAACAGCTGCCCAAACACTTAGATTTCCTCTTGATATTGACTTTGTAGATGAACCTGAAACTCAAGTCTTTGAAAGAATAACTTTATATCCCTTGTAAATAACCACTGGAGGCTACTGCTTAGTAAAATGTGAGATCATGAAAAGCAGCAGTCAAGCTTCTAGTATTCCTCAGAACTCTGTGAATTTCTGACACTTTCTAGTACTGTTAAAAAGTCTTACTTTGGCTGAAATTAAGATGCCTGCTAAGTTAATTAGGGGGCGAGGAACCCATACCAAGTTCCAAGACGCTGGTCTTTCTCAACTGACCTTTTCATTAATTGTTTGAATATTATTTATATGCTAAATTTGTAATTACTACCTATGTGTGAATTAAACATGAATATACTGTACAGTAAAACATTGTATGAAATCAACATATGTTCACTTTAGTTGTTCAAATACACTTTTTTCTAAAAACTTGTGAGTAGTTTGCTTTAATCTTTTATAACAGCTATGCCAGACTGCAGTTAAAGCAAAAAAATGTGCAGCTCAAAAAAACAGTCTGCGAACTTCAAACCAATCAAACCCAAAGATTGTGCACACAGAAAGTTCTGGAAAAAGTGGGGTAATATTGTTCCATTTTACTTGCCAAATTGGCAGCCATTATAGCACAATGGTCCCAGCAAATAATGGAATGTTTTTCATACTGCCTCAGAGGCTTCATTCCCAAACTTTCACTGCCATCGAGTCTTGGAATTTGTTCCCAATCTGGCTTTCAGCAATCTCAGCAGTCTTAATCATTCTTAAGAAAGTCTTATGATATATACCTGTATACATTAGAGACAGCGGAGTAAGTCCAACTACAAAAGAAAGCATCACAAGAAGAGTAATAAAAGTGGAGAACTTTGTTATTCCAGGTAGAATCTTTGATATATTTCCCTTAAAGGAGGTAAATTAATCTAAGAAATCAGGCAATTGTATATTATTATTTATACCCAGGGTTTCTATACATTTTCCAGTGTGAAATTTTCAGCATTATATTTGGTATATAGTATTAATATTATATAATTTTTCATTGGTTGATTTCAAGTGATAACAAGCGCTTACATAATGAAAAGAAACCTAAAACACTTTATAACCTGCATATAATAACCTCTTAGAAGTTTAAAAGAGACCTGCAGTTTTGCGTAATGAAAATGTATGCCTTGCTAAACTTTTGCTGTGAAAACACTCTGCTTGTATGATGCATTTATTTTTAGAAATTTTAATTTAATATTTAAGAAAAAAGAATAGGGGCTATAGTCTGGAAACACTACTATTTTTCTATATTCTGTTTTATTTCTTCCATATTTATCCAGACCTTGAAATTACTCAAATCAAATTCCATACTTTTCCAAACTGCGTAATAACCCTGTCTGCAATTACAGTGTAGTCCAAAAAAAAATGTAATGCTTAAATTTAATTCAAACTTTTATTAATACAAATTATATTATCTGCATAACAACACCAAAAGTCTGAATACTATGCCGCAATCAATCTGAAAATTGACCCCACAACCAGATAAATTTAAATTGAGTTTCCTTTTGACAAGTTTGTGTAGCTGTCACTGGAGTTTTGAATTACTTTCATGATCAAACATTGCTGTAATTTCTCAGTACTCAAGTATTGGTGACGTCTATCCCTAGGTGATTGAGCAACTTATTCACTGCTTCTATTGCTGGTTACCTTAAAGTGCTGAAACGTTTGGCGCCTTTCCTCACATCTCTCAGAGAACGTCCTCAAGGTCCTGAAGAACAAGAGAAGATCTTTTGTGTCCTCCATTCTGCAAACAAGACAATATTGTAACATTAATACCCCAGAACGCCCAACATTGCAATGGTCACTTTGGTAAATTATACATTCTAATTAAAGATTTAGACTGTCTTTAACTATTTGATGAGAAACTTGACAGGAAAAAGACCTCCTTGATGTAAAGTTCAGCATACAATATAGAAGGATAAACTGTGTATTTGTGTTTAATCCCCTTCACAGGATGACGTTACAAGACATTTTGAGATTTTCCATAGATTTACCAGGGGCCCAAAAACTGTGGCACAGGACACAACTTTCCATGACTCTCGAGTCTTGTCTGTGAAAAGCTGATGTTGTAATGAGTGATGGAAAAATGGTAAGTCTCTCAAAACTAAATGGACCCACTCCAAGAGTAAAAGACAGCAGCTTAATGGCAAGAGTTAGAGAAAAAGCTCCCTGAGAATATCTAAAAACCAGACAATTAATGTACGCCTTACACTTTTTGGATTTGGGTTAGCTAAAAGTTTATAAACATTAATCAAACAACTGGTTTGATTGACATCTAACACTGGTCAAAAGAAACCACAGACAAATCACCCTCGCCAGCAGATCTCATTTTGTACCATGGCCAATTTCCATCATATGCGATTTCAGATTTGTTGATTGGGGACCTTGTAATTTTTAAGCTTTCCTAGAATGCTAACCTTTTAAGTTTGACAGACTAAACATACTGAATGCCAGAATCACTCTACAGACCAATTAACAGCAAATCAATGTTTGGCTCCATTGGATAATTTCTCTAAAGTTGTCCCTTTAGTTTTTCTCATTTTCCTGCCAAGGCCCTTTGCCATGAAATCTTGTACTAAGTACAAGAATACGTAATACATTAGGTTTATCAGTGAGGTCGGGCTTAATTTCAAACTTCACACTTAACACAGTTGTCAAAAATCAAAACATCAACAACAATGGAATGAACAACAATACCAAACACAGCTATAGAGGATACAGTAATGATAATACAAAAAAAATAAGGTTTAAGCGCTCTAAAACTCTCTCCACAGACATGCCCGAATCCACTTATGTACCTGACCACAAGAGTGCTCAAAAAATTCTTCTTTAGTTTACATGGGCCATAATGGTTATAAAATGCGTCTTCCTGAGACGCACAGACAGCTCAGACTTATGCGAGAATCATTATCTCCAGTATTTTTCCGACTCTTTCATGCCAGGACAGACTCTCAGACCAGACAATATGATCCAGATGTACATTCAGCGACCAGGAAGCTGGCTGCACTTTAGAAAAGGACCCAAACAAACCGCCGCCAAAACAGCAGCAATACTTCAAACTGTAATTTGTCATCTCAGCCAAAAAAAAAAAAAAGATTCTTGTGACCAAGTGGAACAACTGTAGGAGATCCTATAGTCATGTCTTTAGAAAACAAAACTCTGAAATGGAATCAAATTCATTGGTAATTCAAATGTTTAAGTGTAATGCATTTTTATCAAATGCTATTATGAAGATAAGGGGATCTACAGTTGTAACCAGAGGGTTGTTGGTTTGAAAAAAGGTTTTGAATTAACAACTACCAAGTAGCATGAACCTACAGATAAGACATGAAAGGATAAACTTGTTATTAAAGTTGACCACAAACATGAATGTTCCCTAAACCTCAGCTCTCTTTTCAAGTATTTTGTAAGTATGCTGTACAACACATAATCTAAATAACTTAACCTTTTAATAATCCCAGCTGTATTCTCTGTGAAAGGCTGGATGCATCAACATCAAATGGTGTTACTTTAATGGCAAGCATTGTGCTGTAATCGTCCAAGTAATAATAGAAGACAGAACTGTACCTCAGACCTCAGTGATGTTTAACACTAAAAAACCAACAACAGATAAACCAACTAAATTTACCAAGGACAACCATCACTTTCAGGTCTTTGGTGGAGTTGTCTGTACAGACTGTCTTGCCTCACACAGTCCAGAGGTGGTCCACATGTTCACTTATTACAGTACACACACTGTGGGGTGCTGCTGGCAGTCATTGACTTGCTGGTGCCATTTGCTGACAGTTTAATGAGTGTGACATGTTACGGACCGTCAACACAGCACTTTTAAACATTAAATCCACACATCATTATGTTGGGTGCAGCGTTCTTCTGAACTCAAATGACTGAACCTCATTATAGCACCAGCAGAATAGCCGACTACAGTTTAGAAAGAGAGATTACTCCACCAACATAAAAAACTAATCCTGCTTTGAAGCTGCCCTGTCGGAGCTTTACCACAAAAATAGAACAACAAAACAAATGAAACAGAACAGAAAAGAAGGGAATTGAATAGAACAGAACAGAAAATATAATACAGAAGAATGGTATTCAGCAGAGAATAAGAGAAAAGAACATAAAAGAATACAGCAAAATAAGACAATAGAATAGAGTAAAGCAGGACAGGAAAAATAAAATACAATAGAACTGAAAAGAGCAGAACAGATCATAACAGAGCATTAAGATAATAGAACACAACAGAATGCAATAGAACAAAGCACAAAAAGACCAGAACACATCAGAATAGAAAAAAATAGAATAGAACTGAAAATAGAACAAAGCAGAAAAGAACAAAATACCACAGAATACAGAGCAGAGAATAGATCAAAACAGAGGAGAAAAAACAACAGAACAGTAGAAACAACAGAACAGAATAAATCAAAATAGAGAAAAATAGAACACACTACAATAAAATACAACAGAACATTAAACATTACATAGAATATAACAAAATTAACAGCAGAATAGAATTTAGAAGAATAGAACACAAAGGAATCAGCAGAACACAACAGTACAGAATAGAATAGATTAGAACAGAACAAAGAAGAAAGTTCAACAGAGCAGAATACAATAAAACAGAACAGAATAAAATTTAATCTTTCATAATGGAAGAAAGATGCAGATTCCACACATACGGACCGTCCACATGCCTAATGACCAGAGACGTTTATTTGTTAATTTGGTCTGGACCACGTATAAACAAATCCTTCAGCTGCAAGTATAACAAAAACCCCTCAAACACATAAACAATCCTTATTTTGTCTAACGATGGAATGTCTAATTCTTAGCTAATAAAAATTTAATATTTTGCTCGAATGCTGCCTCATATGTACGATTCTCAAGAGTACACCGCCGTCAGTCAATCTGCCGGAGACGGGACCAAACCTGATCTTGCAACACTTGTCAATCAGTCCTAAATGAGAAAATCAGATTTCTGTGGTAACTGTCCCACATTGTGTTAACAACAGCTGGTCAGTGTTCACTCAGCATCCGGCTAATGAATGAGCCACCTGGATACATTTATTTCCCTTGTATGGAGTTTTGTTTGGATTTGTATCTTTTTACAAGACTAACATAAAGCAGAACGGTCTTCTATGATGTCTGGGAATTCACTTGTCTGATGTTTACTTACACTGTAGGTTTTATGTTGTGTAACCTATTATGCAACTTGGATTTTCTCCAAATGGGATTTCTGTTGATTCAATCATGCAAGATCCAACATTGTGTGAAGGGTAAAAATTATCCATGGAATCCGCTTACCTTTAAAAACAAATGTTAAAAAGAATTACATTAAGTAAAATACAAAACACACCAAAGATATTAAAGGCACAATATGTAGGTTTCGCCACTAGAGGTTTGCTTAAATTAAAGCAATAACAAAAGCGTAGCTTGATGACAGCGTGAATGAGCGTGGAATCATGGGAGTTGTTATCTTCACCTCAACAGCTGATGTAAGTTTCATTAAAGGGATAGTTCACTTTGAAATTAATTTTTGGTATGTTTTAGATATCCTCAAGGGCATCCAAGATGTAGGTGTCGTTGTTTCCGCAGTAGTTTCAATTTTGATATTTTTAGGTCAAACCGTTCTTGTCTGTCAGTCATATAATGCAGGTCTATGGTCACCACCTCAAAGAGCATGCACAGAGAAGTCCAAATTAAACATGATTTAATGACTCGTAAATGTAAGTACACATTGATGGGCTAAGACGCGAAACGAGCGGTTTGTGTGAGAAAAGGAACAGTATTTATAGCGTTTTTACCTCTTGTAACCACAGCCACGTCCAAGTAATCTGAGGGCGCGGGCGCTTCGGTCTGTGCGTTAAAGTGGTAAAAACGATATAAATACTGTTCGTTTTCTCACACAAACCGCTCGTTTCGCGTCTTAGCCCATCAATGTATACTTACATTTACATTCATGTTTAATTTGGACTTCTCTGTGCATGCTCTTTGAGGTGGTGACCATAGACCTGCATTATATGACTGACAGACAAGAACGGTTTGACCTAAAAATATCAAAATTGAAACTACTGCGGAAACAAAGACACCTACATCTTGGATGCCCTTGAGGTAAGCTAAAACATACCAAAAATTAGTTTTAAAGTGAACTATCCCTTTAACGTTACAAAGGTATGAAGCAGGGCTGGGCAGAGATCCGTGGGAGCGGAACGAGGCCAGTGGAACGAATGCTATTGAGACACCAGAGCGACACACTGGTCTCGAGTCCCATGAGGAGCTCCAGAGCTTTAATTATGCTTATACGCCGCTGTCGGCAGCTGCCGCTCCTTACGTTTATTTGTTTTGCGTTAATTTTATGATTAAAGTTACGTTTAACGTTTGCCGGTTCCCGCTTCCTTCTTCCCTGAACTTGAAATTCACATTTTATTTCACTCTTATAAAACTGCCACAAGTGCTGAATTTCTACTCATGCATTTACTTTATTTGACGAATTAAAATTGTGAAGTAATAGCGCTGTTTTACTTGGTCAAAACAATCATACTAAAAAAATACATTTGAGTGTGTTGACAGTTATGTTACGTTACTCTACTTGTTGCACACTGCAGTAATCTAGATCGATATGATGTCACTGACAGGTGAAGCAATTATATAGGCTGTTACACTGGTAAAAATTGCGGATATTTTAATCCAACAATCATACATACATATTGTGTCTTAAAGGAGAACTCCGGCGCAAAATGAACCTTTGGTCTAATTACACATTGTTACCTAGTCAACCGTTATCTGAGATTTGTTTTCATGATTATCGAATGTAAATAGTTTTATCTCTAAAAACAGTTTAGCCTATAAAGCTAGTATAACGCTAGTATATTGGGCATAGATCAATGACAAATAAAAATCGCTTGTTAATACCACTAACAAGGCTCAAAATAGCCCCACACTAACACGGTAGCATAATGAGGGTCCCTACCTTCAAACCGAAGCATTGAGAACTTTGTCAGTGTCCAGACAGTTTAATAAGAAGATATTTAATACATACAGTCAACTTCGCGTATACAGGCAGAAGCCATCTTTGAAAAACAGTCTTTACTAGTCGATCTACGAACGCCGATCCAAGCCTGCTGTTCGCGCTCACCTTATCACAACTTATAGCTCGTTCACATCTCACCAGCGCACTTGGATCGGCGTTCGTAGATCGACTAGTAAAGACTGTATTTCAAAGATGGCTCCTGCCTGTATACGCGAAGTTGACTGTATGTTTAAAATATCTTCTTATTAAACTGTCTGGACACTGACAAAGTTCTCAATGCTTCGGTTTGAAGGTAGGGACCCTCATTATGCTACCGTGTTAGTGTGGGGCTATTTTGAGCCTTGTTAGTGGTATTAACAAGCGATTTTTATTTGTCATTGATCTATGCCCAATATACTAGCGTTATACTAGCTTTATAGGCTAAACTGTTTTTAGAGATAAAACTATTTACATTCGATAATCATGAAAACAAATCTCAGATAACGGTTGACTAGGTAACAATGTGTAATTAGACCAAAGGTTCATTTTGCGCCGGAGTTCTCCTTTAAAGCATTTACTAATCATCACTTTACCTGGACACAAACGCAGAGAAATCTTTAAATTCAACACCATCCACAACAATATTGAGCTCTGTAACTCTCCTGAGAAGAGCATCATCCTCCTGTAAAAAGATACTGAGAGTTAAACAAGATCATAAATAATCTCTTTAGCCTTCACTAGGTCTGCATTTACGCATTTATTCATTTACCTGTCATGAGACTGAGGGCTATTGGGATTTCCGTGACTCTCTCCCGGAAAAAATCTTTTTTGTTGTGAAGACTGTAACAATAATCTGCTTTCACATCTTTTTATGCTTTAAACAACGGGTCAAGTTTGTTCTCCACTATTCTCATGGTAAGGATGAAATTTAAATACAATTTGTTCTCCACTATTCTCATGGTAAGGATGAAATTTAAATAAAACTTAAATTTTACTGAGACTCATATTTAGATGTTCAAACACTAATAAAACCACCATCTTCAGAGACACATCTTGATCTTCCCACAGGCTGCCAGTTTAAAATCTCAATTTTTAAGAGTGCCATCAATCACCAACCAACAAGTCTGTTCTACATGATTTAATGCACCAGTGTAAATGTTTGGTCCAAGGAGGTGCGTCAAAGAGATGTATTTATGCTTGTAATGAAGATTTCAGAGAAGCAAGCAAGAAGAACTAATAAAACTATAAATGCTGAGTCCAATCCATAAGAGACATTTTAAGACCTACTGCATAAATCTCTGATGTTGAAATAAAAGTCATGGTCAAAATGGAGGCAAGCTGCCCTCTAGTGTTGAGTAAAATAAAATAAAAGGTACAGACTTCATCACTGGTTGTAATAATCTAAGCATGAAGTGGATGGTGTTATGTGAGAATCTCAGTAATTTTCTAATTTTACACGTTTTCTGAAGAAAAATGTAATGGTGCTTGCCAATACAAAAAATTATGATGCTGATCACTTACCTCACTTCTCAACAAGCCAGATGATTTGAGGCATCATACAGACATGTGAAATACTTATGATTAGGGGTTTGTTTAAACCTTTAACCATAAGTATGAGCTTTAGGAAGCACCACTAATAATTAGAGAATAATACCAAATAGTAACTGATCTACAGCATTTTAAAATGTACTTTAAAAGTGTTATGGCCAGAGCCTTGTTGGAAAAAACCCCCAAAAATATTAAACAAATTATCACTAAGGATTTTCAAACGGATGCAGGGCTGTGTATGCCTCAAGTCCTAAAGTATGCAATCATTATACACTCATCTGACAGGAGGATTTAAAATACACTGCTTTGTGAAGAGTTATTCATTTTTGCGTGCATTCTGAAAAGGTATATCAATTTGAATAAATAATACTTGTGTTAATACTATTAAGTGCAGGCATAAATACTTAGTGATTTCTTTGTACCTGAATCTCAGTCACGGCCAATTCAACCTGGAACAACAGTACACTGCAGTGACCTGAAAGTCTGAGCTGCTGTACAAGTTTTCTTTCACCTGAAGAGACAACAGAAGTTAATAACACGTTTTTATAAATTAAAATGCTAAAATTGTTATAAATTATTTTGTATTTAAGAGCAAAATGTCTAAATATGCCTGCAGGTCTGACAAGTTAACCTCACTTTTGTGTAACGTCTTCACAAAACACTCATTGAGAGCAATCCCGTTTATTTCCTTCTGTCGTCTGAGGTCTTTCTCCAGTTCTCTGACTTCCGTGAGGAGTTTTGAAAGGGCGCGTTTATGTGCTCCTCCACCTTCTCTTTCCTCACAGATTGACTTTCTGAAAGAGAAAAAAAAAAGTGTTGAAACTTCAATGTAATTAATTTAGTCCTATCTTCAAGTGAACCATTTTCATTGAGGTTCTCCTACAAAGATTTCACACCACAGGCAGACAGGGTGTTTCTTTTTTGTCCATTTAACAGATTACGCTGCTATATGACACTAAACAAAATCCAAAGAAAGGTGCTAACAGTTCCTCTTGTAGTCGATCTCCATGCTGTATGAAAATGGACCGTAAAGTCTCCTCCTGTTCAGCCTCCAGCATTTCAATTTCCTGCTGGATCATCTGAATCTCTTCCTCATATTTCTGCTCCATGATCTTCCTCAATCTACTAAAAAGCAATTTATGAAAATACATAGAGAGAAAGAGAGACTAATTACATGATATATACACAATAACGTCATAATTTATATAATAACATTATGTAAACATTTGCATGCCAGTATTTTTAATATGATGCAAAGGTTATAATTAATCAGCTCAAGACACGAACCTTGAAATTTAACTTATCTAATTAATATTAATAACATATTTCAACAAAATATATAACAAACGGAAAATAATTTCACAGCAGTTCAAGTCAAAAACGCTTTTATTTAATTAACGTTACAAACGGACAAATAATCCTGCAGCTATAAGTTATGTTAATTATAAACCTTTATATAGTTTCATAACGATGTTTTGTTGTAAATCAGATGACAGGAGCTCGATCTGACAATAAAACATAGCCATCAATCAGAAGAGATTTCACTGACGTAAAAATAATAATAAAAAATTAAAAGTTATGGTACAAATCTGTTTGTTGTGCCTTATATGGACTTAATACCTCATGTAAAACTTATATCAATCTTAAAACCAAATGTTTAAAGGAATAAACTTACTTTAATATTCTCCTGAAGGTAAACAGCTCGACTTTATGATTCTGACGGATTCAACTATATCCCGCGTCAACGCGGAACATACCAAATGAGAACTGGATGGGTAAACCTTGTCCAAAAACAACTTAAAACATTTACATGTTCATCTAAATAGCATTATTATAAGGTTAATTTGTTATAGACCCATTTATTATTGCGTATAATTCATTTTATATAGGATAAATTGGACATTTGTCTAATACTGATAATCTTTATTCGGTGAGTATATTTTGCAAATGGAACTTTCCATTGCATTGTGTTACATTCCCAAACGGAACCAAAGAAGACGCGTCCATGGTGTCACAGCGGAACAGTTACAGTGTAACATCGGCATGTACATGTGAATCTTTGGCATGATCGTAAGTGTGTTTTGAGTTTACATTAATACTATATTCTTCCTCGGGGAATATTTTAGCAACTCTTTAACTATGTATGTTAAAGTATGGCATTGGGGAAATTCAGATCATACAGTTTGTACTTCTGTAATAATCATATGTCCATGTGTCTCATGGTTTTAAACATAATTTACATAATTTGAAAATTGTTGTTGTTATATTTTTTTGCAATGCAGTTCAAATATTTTCTTTTTATTGAAAAATCTGCTTACGTTTGTGTACAAGGCAAATAGTACATTTTATACTGATATACATTAGTTATATTCCTAAGTTATACCCTTGCAAGGTGAATATCATATTAAAAAATGATATATTGAATAATTTATTCATAATATTGAATAATTGTAATTATAGAATATTTAAAGAGGGAAGGATAACCAAGTTTTGAGATGCCTCCTTGAGCAACAATTATTATTTGTAACATTTTGTGATAATTGTAATTGTGTGCAGTAAAGCTGTTCATTGTTACTGACAAAAATCCTCCAGGTGGTTCTTTTGCCTCCCAGCATGCTCTGCAAGCCGCACATTTGAGGTTTTTTTCCCACAATGGTTATATGAAATTGAATCCAGCTTTGTTACTGTCAAGTCTTGTAGATTGTAACAACTGTATACTATGCATGTATCTTTTGAAGTCTGTCTGGGATGGAGACTTCTGTTTGTTTAGTTATGTGTGTTTTGATGATATACAGGAGGGTTTGGTTGCGTGACATCTGGCCATGAAGCGATTGTACATTGGAGGTCTCGGCCACACTGTGTCGGAGAAGGACCTCAAAGACAGATTTGGGAAATTTGGGGATGTGTCAGATGTGGAAATTATCAGAAGGAAAGATGAGCAAGGTAGGAATTCTGATGAAAACCAAATTAACTTTTTTTGCATTCACTGGGGGTACCCATTCAATATTATTCAGGATTTGTGCATTATCTTTGTGATCTGTTTACAGGATCTCCTCTGAAGACATTTGGCTACATCAACATAAACATCACAGATGCTGAATACAAAAGATGTACATGCATTTATTTAACATAAAATTTTACTTAAAGAGTGTTGCTGTGTCATGCAGTAATTCAATCTGTGCATTTGTTTTTTAATACAGGTATAGGTGTCTTAAATAAATCCACATGGAAAGGTGGAACTTTGCTCATTCAGCTGGCAAAGGAAAGTTTTCTACATACGTAAGTATGCGTGTGTGTGTGTACATTTTGCTATATTATATATTTGTGAATTGCTATACACTGCCCAGCTGTTTGGATTTAAATAGGCAGATGCTTAAGAGTCTGTGATTGGATCATTATTGCAGTTTCTGGCATGTTATATGTTTGGCAACAGCTCTTTTAACTATAATTGATGGAGTGTGTAGCTTTTCATTTCTTAACCAACCATGTAGGAAGACACATCATGGCCATATTCCAGGATGACAATGTCAAGATGCATCAGGCTCAATTTGTGAAAGAATGGTTGAGAGGGAGCATGAAGAATCACTTTCACACATGAATTGAGTCTAGACCTTAAATTCATTGAACGTCTTTGGGATGTGCTGGAGGTGACTTTACAGAGTGCTTGACTCTTGCATTGTAAATACAAGATCTTGACCAAAAACTGATGCACCTCTTGATGGAAATAACATCACAACATTTAAGGTCTGGACTCAGGTGCCATTTCATGTGTGAAAGTGATTCTTCATGCTCCTTCAAACCATTCTTTCACAATTTGAGCCTGATGAATCTTGACATTGTCTTCCTGGAATATGGCCATGATGTGTCTTCTTACATGGTTGTTTAAGAAATGAAAAGATACACACTCCATCACTTAGGGTTGGAAGAACTGATCCCAAACATAAAACATGCTTTAAACATAGTAATCAGTGCAATAATGATCCAATCATAGACTTTTAATCTACTTTTTTTTTGTCAGACTTGCTGAAGAACGACAGCAAATGGTTGAAAAGACCAATACCCCAAAGATCATCCCTCAGGAGAAATTAGTAGACTCACTTAAAGCAGCCGGTGTTGAAAATTTCCACATGAAAGCTGCTGTTCCAGGGACAGAAATTCCTGGGCATAAGGTCTGTGTCCATAATTTACTATAGCTGGGAACATTCGTCAAGTTGTAAAAATGGCCCAATGCTGATTTAACATTGGTTTTGTGTTTCTCCACTCTTCCAGGATTGGGTTGTGAGTAAATTTGGGAGGGTCCTTCCTGTCCTGAATCTCAAATGTAAAGGAAAAAGCAAAATATCCTTTGTGTTACTATTCTATTGGTTTTAAGGAAGATTTACTAAGATTTGCAGAGATTCTTGCATGTGTAGAAGTGCCCTTTTGCTTGTTTCTTGTTTTGCTTGCTAAAAACTTATTTTAAAGTCCATAATCTATAAACAGCAGCTGCAATTTCCAAGCTACATTTTTGCATTGAAAAGTGTTTTTTTTTTTTTTTTTTTTATGTCATCTTCACTTTTTCTTGTCTGCTCATATTGGGTTTTCTTAAGTGCAGTGTCATCTTTTTTCAAAGTTGTAGATCTGGGATCATAATACAGAACAAAATGTCATGGTTTCCAAATAGTTCATAATCTTCCCTTAACTCTTGAGTACATCTTCAAGTATGATCCATCCAAACACTGCCATAACATCAAGAGACTGGAGACTGCGGGCGACGTCACATCAGTGTCCAAGCTGACATGGGAGATGGAAGGTGGAGATGATGAAATCAGTAAGAAAAGGAGAGGAGAGTTTCCAAAGCAGAAACCGTGTCCCAAAAGACCTAAAGTAGACTTGAGTTCATTTCTTAGCAATGTGGCTCAGAGCAATAGAATTAATGCGGCTGCTATTGGAAACGAGAACAAAACGGGGATCCAACAAAACGGACTCTCAGGAAAACAAAGACCTGTTGTTAAAAGGCCAGTTTGTGTTTTGAACAGTGATGCTGACTCTGAAGACGAAATCAGGATGTTGGTTTCTCAAGAACATTTGAGGAACCCAAAACAAACCTCTGCAGAGGATGACGATGACAACCTGGAGGTGGTCGGAGATGATTTTGTTGTTAAATCTAATGCTTTTTGGGGCACAGCAGAACAAGATGGCGAAAAATGGCTATTAACTACATCAAAAGAGGATGAGGATTACGATTCAGCGGACACCGATGAAATACTAACCCAGAGAAAGACCCAAAAAACACAAGTTGACCAAGATTCCCCAGCAAAATCCAGTAGAAACAAATCTTCGTCTGAATCTGACGGTGGTAGCGACGAGGTATCTGAAGATGATGTTAGCATAGATTCTGAATATGAAGCCATGATGGGGAAATGCTGCCGCTTAGAGCTCTCCCTAGCAGACTTGGAGCAGCTAGCTAAAAACACAGAGGTGATTTCAGATGATGAAAGTGTAGAAGAACCCACAGAAGAAATCAAGACCCCAAGTGCACCACTCAAAAGAAGAGGTATTAACCCTGAAGATATTCTAGCTTCGCTTTTTAAAGGCTACACCCCTGACAAAGAAAGTAAGAATCAGGTGACCAAAGTATCTCTTCCAGCTTTCATTGGAACAAAGGATCTCTTTGGAGGTCCAGAGCCCATCTTGAAAAGAGTCGCTCAGAGTATTGACTGTGAATCTCCTAAAAGACTCAAAGACCTGAATTTGAAAGAACGAAGCGTTTCAGAAGATACAAGTCAACCACAGTCTTCAACCCGTCCATCTCTACAGAAGTCGTCCAATTTAAAGGTACAATCAACCTCAAAGAAACTTGAGAACCAATCATCAGAAGATGATTCTTCTAGTGAAGAATCGGAAACCAGCGAAGAAGGCGGCGAAAGTGCTGAAGTTGTCACCTTTAAAACATCTCCAGCGACACAGTCGGTAGGTACCATCCCTGAAACCAAACTGAAGACTGTTAGTTCTAACTCAAACACCCCAATCAAACCCAAGCAGACGAAGATCTCCAGATCTTCCAGTAGTGACTCAGAGAGCAGCGAGGAAGAAGATAGTTCTGAAGTCATCACTTCTAAAACGTCCTCAGTGACACAATCGATAAAAACCAACCCTGAAACCAAACTGAAGACTGTTAGTTCTAACTCAAACACCCCAATCAAACCCAAGAAGACGAATCCCTCCAGATCCTGCAGTAGTGACTCTTCTAGTGAGGAATCGGAGACTAGTGATGATGAGAAGTCCAGACCTCAGCCAAAGGATTCCAAACCAGTCGCTTCAAAGAAAGTTCAGGAGAAAGTTGAGTCGCATTCAACAGTTCTTCACTCAACTGTCATAGACGCTCAGAAACAACAGAAGGACAACCAGAAACGTCTTGCGGCGCTAGAGCAACGACAGAAAGAGACCGAACAGCAGAAGAAACTCATTCAGGGGGCTCTTTCCAGCGTGGTGAGTAGAACTATTGTATAAAACTAGTCCATACAGCTTGTACTCTGTACTCAACATCGTCTGAATATGGTTTATATGAGGAAAAGGCTGAATTTTAAGGGATTCACTATGCATCTGTACCATATTGGTTATTGGTCTATTTTAGATTTTATTTTATTTTTAATTTAGCAGATAGCCTCGTGGGCAGCGCCTCCGGCTCACGGACCTTTCCCGATACCAAATCCCCCCTATCTTTTTCATGTTTCATAATGTACATTATAATGTTGCGATGTACATTATAATGTTGCGATGTACATTATA